TTTTTGTATTCATTTATCATGCCTTTATTATCTGCCTCCCTTTCCTAGAAAGTAAGCCCCCATCTGTCTTACCAGACTGGTGGGCAGTGCCTGGCATCTCTAACAGGTGTTCCGCACATTTCTGATGGACAAATGAAGTAGATTTGAAAATCAAACAGAAATCAGAACGTGGAGATAGTATATTCCTCGAGACACCAGAGAGTGGAAGGGGTCTGTGCAGGCTTGCCCATGGATGCAGGAAAGCTAGAATGACTGCCAGGGCCCCTTGGTGACAGCCGGGAGAGTAGGGAACCAGTGCTGACTCCTACCTGCCTGAACATGATGGAGAGCGACCAAACTTGACACCCAAATTATGCACACTTCACCCAAGAGATTCTACCCACTTGCTGTGGGACTTACTTCTGGCTATACTAGAAAAGAATTTTGACAACTTAGGGGCTTTTTAAAAAATGCATTACTTGAGGCACCGGGGTGGCTCAGTCCGTTAAGCTCTGACTTCGGCTCAGGTCATGATCTCCCAGTTTGTGGGTTCAAGCCCCACGTTGGGCTCTGTGCAGGCAGCTAGCTCAGAGCCTGGAGCCTGCTTTGGATTCTGTGGCTCTCTCTCTGACCCTCCCCTGTTCACGCTGTCTGTCTGTCTGTCTGTCTCTCTCTCTCTCTCTCAGAAATAAATAAAAAACATTTTAAAAACTACATTACTCAAAATAACAGACAATCCAATGTGATTTCTAGGAGAAACATGGGTTCCTTAAATTGAAAACTCTGCCCCATTAACTCCCTGAAAGGTGAAGGTGGGTAATTCCTGAAGGGTCTTGTGAATGAGGTAATCTGCAATACAGGAAGACTGCTGGGGAGGAAATCTTTCAAGTGTTCTAGAGGAATGTTATTTGAAGGGATTTGTATTTAATGGATGTATTTAATGGATGACAAGACACATCAGTGTCTGTGGTTGTGGTAGGGCTGCTAACAGCAATGACAAATGTCCTATATGCAACTTTGTATTTTAATACATTAACGCATCTGTTAAATAGGACTTTTTAACATGAAACTGAAAGAACCCCCCCCCCCCAGAGGATTCCTCTTTGTGACATTCAGCTCCTTCTCTAGAACTTTTCAGCTGACATTTTCTTTGCTTTTTAGTGTGCCTTTGTGTTTTCCAGGAAGAAAACAGAATCCTCTAGTGAAAATCTGTACAGTATATCCGCTAAACCAAAACACTGATTGCAATCCTGTGTATTCAGAAGAATCGATTGACGTGTGTGACCTGGACCCCAAATCATGAACTGATAAGCTGACATAATTCTCTCATCCCCACTAGAACCTGTTCTTTATATCAAAATATTATCTTCCTGTGTAACAACATTTCCTCAGAAACCCAAAGGATTGGTGATGATCATTAATATGTATAATGTGTTTGGAAATAATGTAGATTTTATTTTTGCCCTTATTTTTTCTTTTTTTTTTTAATGTTTTTAAAGTTTTATTTATTTCTGAGAGAGAGAGAGACAGCATGAGCAGGGGAGGGGCAGAGAGAGAGGGAGACACAGAATCTGAAGCAGGCTCCAGGCTCTGAGCTTGCTGTCAGCACAGAGCCCGACACGGGGCTCAAACCCACGAACCGTGAGATCATAACCTGAGCCGAAGTCGGACACCCAACAGACTGAGCCACCCAGGTGCCCCTGCCCTTATTTCTTCTTAAGGCTACTGAGGCACAGAAAGCCTCACGGCAAGTTAGGACTGCTCAAGGAGTAAAACATGGACATCTGACCCGTCACTAACTTCTTCAATCAACATACATAAAATCATACTTTAGAGTTAAATGCAGCATGCTACAACTCTCTCTTACCTTTCTTTATATTGCTATTTCTGTTCCAGAAGTGTATTTTTGTTCTTATTTGGCCACCAGAGACATGTGTTTTGTTGTAAGCAAAAAGGATGTTTTTTATCATGCCTCGCTATAGGTGCACATTATCCTTGGCCGCTCTTCAGATTCTAGGCTGGTTCTTTTGCCCATTTCCAATCCTCTGTTTTTATTGGTGATAATTTGCATTTACTGGCGGCCAAGATATAATTGATACTGTGCTTACTTTTGTTCTCATGTCTGAAAATAAGTCAGTAGAAAGAGCAATTCTTGCAGTATGTGAGTATGAGCACACGTGTGTAATTCAGGGCATCAGAGAAAGGGAATGCAAAGTGTGCCTGAGCCTCTTTCACAGTGGCAGCTCTCTCTCCCTGCCCTCAGCTTTAATGTGCTCTTTGCAAGACATCAGTTTTTGGTGATCAAGGATCCCCACAGGATTGGTGTCATGTGGTGTGTAACAAACCAGAATGAACTAGGCAAAAATTCCAGCAACGGACACATATCTAAGAAAATAAATGTGTGGACCACTGGGAGAATAGCAGCGTGAGATGCTCCCTGCCACCCTGCATTTTCTGCAATATCTTGCCTGTTGTCCTAACGGGACTTAGGAAGCTTGAGATGACTACCCAGTCAGTCACTCACTACATGTGTGATCTTGAGTAAGCTACTTAATATCCCTGAGTTCCCATTCTCTAAACTATAAAATGGAGGCAGAAACTCTCTTGTAACATCGTAAGGCATGGAATTCCATAAAATACAGGGCATGGAGTGCACGACACATAGCCTGGTGCCTGGTGTCCTACATGCATTTTATTTTATTTACTTTATTTAAGGTTTATTTATTTTGAGAGAGAGAGAGAGAGATCTTAAAGAGGTTCAGCATGGAGCCAGATGCAGGGCTCAATCTCATGACCCAGGGATCATGACCTGAGCCAAAATCAAGAGTCGGATGCTCAACAGACTGAGCCACCCAGGTGCCCCTTTATCCCTCTGTTTTACTCATTTTCATGAAGTCTTTCCTCCTGGAGTATGAGTTCCTTGAGGAGGAGTATGGGTTCTATTTCTGTTTTTCCAATGCTTTGTATGCACCCATGTGATTAGTGGCTCAAGAAGAGAGCTTGAGAGGAACCTCTTCCAGTGACTATTTTTGGTATACCAGCTTAGTGATAGGTGACTCACACTTTAGCAGGAAAATATGAAAAGTGACAAGGGCTGTATGACGATAATGGTAGGCTAAGAAGAATCAGATACTAAGCCCCAGATCAACAAACGAGGGAAAAAGTTTGGTTGGTGAGCACCGTCTTGAGACTCACTCACATCCCTTTGGCATTCAAATGGAGTCCACGTCTGTATATCCCAAGTTGAGGAGCCCTTTTTTACACTCTACTGCTAGTTTCTCATACTTCCTTTTGCTTACTGTTTAAAGTATCAAAGCTGCTGCACATCCCGTCCTTATTAGCAGCTTTGGTGTACCTTAGAGCAGACATTGCCTTCAGGAGCCAAAAATACTGGAGCTTCTTTTTACAGAGTACTTATTATGGGTTGGATGAAGGTCTGACTATGCCTGGAGTCATGCTGCTTGAAGCCATTCTAATATTCATTTAGTTAGAACGGTAACCACACTGAGTTACTGCTGGTCTCATATGGATCATATATTCACAGTCAGCCCTTGGCTTTGACAAGAGGATGTGTATTATCTCTGCTATTGCCCATCACTTCTTTTCATTTCATTATGAATATTGTGCATGGAAGCATGATTTTCAATCTGTAATCCCAGTTGAGTTCTTTCAACAGAGTCTGTATGTTTAAGTGTATAGTTTTCTTTGAAGCAGACTTTGTTGAAATTGATATCCATTATCGGCTATCTCTGTCTTCCAGGGCTATCACGTTTTGCTCTAACTGGGAAGGAAGAGACAGTTTTTAACATGAATGGACTTTGTAGCCCAGCATGTATTTTCTCACTGGTGTGATAGCAGCTCCTGTTCTAGAAGGGAGTAGCATTCTGAAGGACAACACACACCAATTAAAGTGTCGTGCCCATCGTCATTGGATTTGTGGCCTTAAGCTCATTTGTGTCTCTCATTATACTCCTGCTATATTTACTGACAAGTGGAACCACTGAAAAAGAATTGAAAGTGGCCAGCATAATTTCATCAAGGGAACATCAGGGTGAATTGTTGAAAACCACAAAAATGATACCATTAAGATCAACTCCAAAATGCATGCCGCCAGCTGTCTGGAAAGACACTTGGGTGATAGTGTCCATACCTGAGGATAAGGCTCTTCTTCATGTGATGCCTCCTAGGAAACTGATAATTAGGGAATATCATTTGCGACAGCCAAAGTTAGGGAAAAGTGAGGAAAAGGAAGGAATTACTCCTGAGTCAGAGCCTAGAGAGACTGTTTTAGCAGAGATTATCCGGTGGTGGTGGACACATTTTCAAATACAGGGCTAGAGGAAGCAAAGAGATGTTGAGAGCTGATTATTTTATCAGAATCAAGTGAACGAAAGCTCAGACTTAGAAACATGGAAAAGAGACATGAGGCCGTGTGTAAGACTCTCCTGCTTGAAAGAAGCCTTTAGTGTCAGGAGTGTCTTTGACAGCAAAGAAGTCCTCTTGTGATGAGGGAAAACCCATTTTAATGACTAATGTTCAGTTTACTTCATATTCCTCTAGAGTTTATAATCTAATACTTGTTAATTGAGTATGAATATACATAAATAACTTCTATCAAGGGGAAAAAAGGGAGGCCGATCATATTGGGGAATTTTCAGTAGTGGTGGAAATGAATGATTATGTTTTGGATTTTAGTCACCATGGGTAATCCTAACACCCTTATTCTGTTTATGCGGGGATGTAAAGTGACTGAAGAAATTTAAACAAAAACTGTATTTTATTGATTTTGCAGAGTTAAGAGAAAGATTTGGGAAGCATGGAACCTTCCAGCAGGTTTGGAAGAAAGTAGAGGGAATGCAGAGGTGCCAGACTGCCACGAAGACCCATGGACAATCCCGCAATCACACTTCTGTATCGAACTTTAAGATTTATTAGTAATATGCTGCCTTTGCAAGATGAAAAGAAAGTAATGCCAAGAAGGCATATTCTTCAGTATTTGGAATAGACGCGCTCTCAAGACAATGGCTTCCAAGGTGTCCTGTCTATATGTTTTGACAGTCGTGTGCTGGGCCAGCGCCCTCTGGTATCTGAGTATAACTCGTCCCACTTCTTCCTACACTGGCTCCAAGCCGTTCAGCCACCTAACAGTCGCCAGGAAAAACTTCACCTTTGGCAACATAAGAACTCGACCTATAAACCCACATTCTTTTGAATTTCTTATAAATGAGCCCAACAAATGTGAGAAGAACATTCCTTTCCTGGTTATCCTCATCAGCACCACCCACAAAGAATTTGATGCCCGCCAGGCAATCCGAGAGACGTGGGGGGATGAGAACAACTTCAAAGGGATCAAGATAGCCACTCTCTTCCTTCTGGGCAAGAATGCCGATCCCGTGCTGAACCAGATGGTGGAGCAAGAGAGCCAGATCTTCCACGACATGATTGTGGAGGACTTCATCGACTCCTACCATAACCTTACCCTTAAGACATTAATGGGAATGAGATGGGTGGCCACTTTTTGTTCAAAAGCCAAGTATGTCATGAAAACAGACAGTGACATTTTTGTAAACATGGACAACCTTATTTATAAACTACTAAAACCCTCCACCAAGCCAAGGAGGAGGTATTTTACTGGCTATGTCATCAATGGAGGACCAATCCGGGACGTCCGCAGTAAGTGGTACATGCCCAGGGATTTGTACCCTGACAGTAACTACCCACCTTTCTGTTCGGGGACTGGCTATATCTTTTCAGCGGATGTGGCTGAACTCATTTATAAGACCTCACTCCACACAAGGCTGCTTCACCTTGAAGATGTATATGTGGGACTGTGTCTTCGAAAACTGGGCATACATCCTTTCCAGAACAGTGGCTTCAATCACTGGAAAATGGCCTATAGTTTGTGTAGGTATCGCCGAGTTATCACCGTGCATCAGATCTCTCCGGAAGAAATGCACAGAATCTGGAATGACATGTCAAGCAAGAAACATCTCAGATGTTAAGATTTTTACCAGTGTAAATACATTTCTTTTCTTTTTTAAGAAATGGGGCCTAGGGTGTTGGTATTTAACAAGTGTCACCGGGGGAAATGAACTGGTGAAGGGGTTTTATAAAAAGTTTTTTCTTCCCACTCCTAGTTTCTTTCTTCGATTACCAATTTACGAATGTCAGGCTCTGGTCATAGAAACAATACACGAGTTAAAAGGGCCAGATTTCATTCTCAGGTCCTAAGGCATTGCATTTATCTCAAAAAGCGACTTCCTGACAACTGCTAGGATTTACATACTGTGCATCTGAGATAAAAATCTGGTTCTGGGACACGGAAACTCACTGTAATGTCTTCATATCATCTCTGCAAAAATGAATAAGTAAATAACTCTTTTTCAGAAGTAATTCAGAAATAGTTCACAGTCAGGAAGACACATTCAATGTGATTGTTAACATTGTGTGTGCCGTTATATTGAATTTTTACATATATTGCCATGGAACATGTACAGTGTTTGCTGTCCCAGCAAGAAATGAACTTAGGCCTGGCAGGAAGGCTTCAGTTAAATAAATGGAAATCTAAACTTGAAAATTAAATAGTCTGTATGTTTGGAAGACAACTCTGCCTGCTCATCCAAGGATTAAACCTGGTCATTGGGTGGAATGTATATAAAATGCTACTTAACAAAATAAACAAGAGCATTTTGTTTTTTTTGTTTTTTGCTCTTTCAGAACAAACATTACCCAGTGCTTCAAAGGAGATTTTGCCAAAAGTAATCTCACCTGCCTGCCTCCAACAGTGTTGCTAAGCACATTTTACAGTTTCTGACAGAGGCAGGCACATGTGTGTAGAAATAAGTTGGTAGGAGGGCAGAAACAATAAATTACATGGAGAAAATACAAACTTATGTATGCATTAAAATTAACATAAGCAAGCTTAGCAATAGTATGAGATGCTCCCTCCCCCCCCCCACACACACACATTTGCAAAGCATGTGAGAGAATCTTTTAATGGGTGCCAATTTTACTGAATGATTTTGCCCTATGGTTGATCGAGGTACTAGTCTAACATCTGAAACATACAAGTACCTCCAGCACCAATGCTTTTGGGAGGTGTTGTGGGAGCTCCGTGATTGAGGTTCAGGGGAAGGAAGGGCAGAGAAGCTTGGAATCAGTTTCTGTTGATATCATCATTTTTGTTGGGTCATGTGAGCAGGCATCTTAACCTTGCTGTGCTTCAATATGCTCATTTATAAAATGGAAGGAAAAAACACCTACCTCATAGGTGCTGTGAGAGCAAATTGCATATGCTAGGTATTTTGAGATCCTTAATTTAAAAGGTGCTAATGCAATGTGTCATGCGTTATGCCAAATGCTAAAATAATTAATTACAATGATGGTCATTGTAATCAGTAGTCGTAACATCGGCTTACATGTAAAATCTGCCAAAAGAAAGATCGAATATGAACTATTAGTGCATCTGGTTTTTCTAAGACTTTGTGACTTTTCCCTGGATATCTTAGGTGTTTGGAGAAGCTTCAATTTCTCTACCATTTCTTCTGGTTTCAATGAATAAGTTTTTACTTCAGTGCATTGCCTTGATTTCCCAGGGTGCTGAAGGTGAAGGCAGCTGCCTTTCTTCAGGGAGGAGTCTCTGGCTGGAAGTATATTACAATAATTGAATCACATGCTTTGCAAAATGTATTATATCCCATCAACTTAGATCTCAGGAAACACTGATCTGAATTCTCAATAAAAACTTTGAGGAGTGACCGGTAAAGCTAGTCCCCCTCTATCAGAAGAACAGGCACTCAGCAAACCCACACATTGCACATCATCTTTCATTAGAAAACTTTTTTTTTTGTTTTCATTCAAAGAAAGCCCTGCAACTGAAGGAATGTAACTTTTCTTTTAACCTGACCTTTGGAAGCCCCCACTAGAAGTTGATAGCAAACAAGTAAACAAAATGAACAGATGGAAGTCATGGCCTATTTCTTGAAAACACTGGATCTTTTATTCCCAGCCCAAAAGAATGCAATATGAGACAGGCCTTCCTGTCCTTCAGTACATCTTCATCAAACAGTCAGCTGGACTGCCGAGTTTGATTGGAAAACAGCATTAGGTAGCCTGGGGAGAGATGGATCAGCACAAGGCGAGCCCCTCTCTAGCCCCCAACCCTCCACTGCTGTGAGTTCCAGTCATTGGAAAAGTCTCATGACTTTGTACTTGGTTTGCATTTCAGTCACATAGCTGAATCAAGCCTCTGTCTTATACTACCCTTTTGCATTTACCTTATGCTCAGTCAAGCCACCTTCGCGTCAAGGAATTGCACATTATAAACATCGTATATGTACATCTATGAATTGTTTTCTGTGTGTGTGTGTGTGTGTGTACCTTATAAATAGAGCCCTAATCTTTAAAAGGAGCAAAAACAGAGAATCATATGTCTTAAAGAACTATTTCCTAACTTTTTTATGCTAGGTAGTGCCCATGTGACGAACATGTAAATATTCATCAAAGACCATATGTATATATTTTAAAGGCATTTTTTCTTCTCCCCTGTACGTATAGCTAGAATCTGCTTGTTATGTACATTTTCTTCTGCATGGAGCTCGGTGAGGCAAGGCCATTTGTCCAATGTTTCAATAGCTGAAAGCATGTTTGCCCTTCATTTTTTGAATGTTCAAAAAAAATGTTTAAGTCAAGTGATCATGAAAAAGCTCTAATTTTCTACTTTTCTTAATTTTTATGGCACTGGCCAAATTATGGTTTCAGTTATTTAAGCCATTTTTAAATGTATTATTACCATTTCTCTTACATAAAGTAATGTTTCAGACAGTATTGTACCAGGAGTCGTTCAGACAATTTTTATGAAAACCTTCTGACTGTCCCCCTACATGTTGTGTTCATTATGCATTGGATAACAAAAGGTATCAATAATTAGTGCCTGTGTTCTTAAATTTTCTTTTTTAAATTTAGTTTTGGAAAGAAAAAGTTTTATCTTTGCTGGCTAGTTTGCGTGGCTTTGGGTCTCCTCCTATTGAACCAAATGCCGGTTTCAATATGTAATATTGTATTTTTAAATAACCAGAATCAAAAAAATGAAGATCATTTCCAATTTGGATTAAATTCAGAAGAACAAAACCCCTTTGTGTGATGATATGGGGGAAACAAACTCTTTACAGAGAAGCTGAGGAAGGAGTTTTTCAGTCAAACCTCTTCTATCAAAAGACAATGGAACATTTACATAAAGCTTATGGGATTCATTTTCTACCTTTCCTAAGATGTGGGTTTAGTGGGGGAATTGATGATGTCATTTCTTCTGTAAAGGTGAGGATCGTTTTTATAAGCAACAAAGTAACTTGTGAATGAAAGAAGTAATTTACTAGAGACGCTTGGTGATGATAATTGACATTTAGGTATATTGTTATATATGAATGATTGTTTATTTATGTATTTATTTGTCAAAATTGTACATACTATTTCGCCGAACGTACTTGTCTGTAAAAGTGCACTCTCCAGGTTTGTAGTACTATTTAGGGTTACATGGGTTGCCAATCAAGCTGCTAATCAGAATACTATTTTTTGTATCAATGTTATAACACTGAAAAATAGATGCTGAAGATGTCTTTACATTCAGTTTCTTCACCTTCCTCTTGAAACGTAAACTGTTGATTGAAAGCACGATGCCAATGTATAAGCCCATCTGTCATGAGGAAGATTATGGTTCCGTAAAGCTGATTTTTTTTAAACCATTGGGACAAATAAACAGAAGGAGAACATATTTTCCACTGTGCTTCTTTTCTGGAAAAAAACCTCTTTGGTAAGATGCGATCATTAAAATTAGCGGATGCCTTGTTTATCATTAACCTTCTCTGCAACCTCAATATAGGTAATAGTTCAGGTCATTCAGAGCTCATCCCAAGAGCCTAATGCTGTCAACTTAGAGAAGGTTTGGTCCGTAGACTATGGGCTGCTCCAAGATTTAGAAAACTGGGATCTCCCTTGACTGTTGGCGGCCTCAGGAAAGTCTCTGTTTTAAATTCTGGCATGTTGAACATGTCAACAAATTACAATTCAGAGAGCAGATATTGATAACATGCTTGGTGAATTAGGACATATTAAATCTAAGGTAAAACTGTCATTCTTATGTGTCATCCACATATATCTTTTGGAATATTGCATACTACTTTAAAAGTTTGCTCGTACTAGAAAAATGCTATTCGGGCATTCTTAACAGCAGACAAGTAGATACTGATTGCTGATGCCTAACTTTGTAAGCAAGAGATTAATAGCTATTTAAGAGACAAAAGTTTCTATTATCAATCCTGAATTCACTTAAATAGGTCTTTTATTTTTAATGGAAATGTACCTGGATTTACTACCACTGCACCTCAGAGTTCAAAAAGTTAAGTCCATCAGGTGAGCTAAAATACAGGAGTAAACAATGAAAACTTAAAATATATAGATTGGTGTTCGGTGTGACTTGTTTTTAAAGGAGCAACATCATTAGCAATATTGTAAAAGCCTGGTCTTAAAATCCAGGAGCATCAGTACCAAATGGGACTTTGCAAATTCTTGGAACTTACCAGAAACTTTGGGACGTGGCTGGGCAATCTATATTAACAAGCCCCGTAGGTGATTGTTGGCCCCGGGAATGTTGAGAACCCTGCGGGGGGCGAGGACTGGCCAGCTACTCTGTGAACCACAGGCGGCCTGCTGCCAAAGAGCTCAGAGTGGTTTCAGGATGAATATGTGCAAAGGCTCGATGAGGGGAGATACCGACATTGCACCCCAAACTAAGCAACATGCTTTCCTAATGGTAAGAATTCTACTCCTTTCATTTGTAGATGTGTATTGCCAAAAAAGTACTTTATTATTTTATTATTTTTCAATTTCATTAATACAGAAACTGTGAAGCTCTGTTTCTTGTTATTTAAGTCAGTTCATATGGATCTTCGATTTTTGCCTCTTAGCCTACGAGCTTAAAAATATTATCTGGTGGTTTACAGAAGTTTGCCAACCTCTGACTTAAAGAAACAGGGAGACATCTGACAAAGGTGTTACCTGCAAGTTTCCCCAATTTTAAATGAGAAGTCACATCAATAAAGCATGTGGAATTGTTTCTATGCAGCCAGGGAAATGACAATGTAGTCATGATCATGAATTGTATTGAAAACCGACAGCTGCATGTATTTTTAAAAAAAAATATTTCCTTTTTCTCTCTGGGTGATTTTTAAAACTTATAAAAACTTGGTTCTAATTGTAACAATTATCCAAAGCTTAATTAATATATTGCTTAAAGATGTGCTGGTATTAGACCTAAGAGGGTGGGTTTCATATAGCTTGATTATCATAATTACAAGCATTCTATTTTCTCATTTACTTAATTGATTGTCAAAGCTTTCCAGATAAATTCACACTGCTGGAAGAGAATTGAATACATTTCTGACAGAGAAAAAAAGATGGGGCTATTTAGAAGAATGATGTGTCCCAGAATATAATCCATATGAGCATGAAAAATTGCCCTTGATAATATCTCCTTACCTCTTTGTTGGTTAAAGTAGGCATTTTTGTGAAATGAGAAAGAAATGAATGAAAAAGTATTATTGATTCAACTACATCTATAATAACACTGGCTCCACTGTCTCTTCAGCCAGAGGTGCCCAGCACTCAAGAAAAATTTTCC